ATTTGCTGGGCTGTCTCCTAACAAAGGAAAAGCAACATGGTGGAACAGGGAGCTTCGTTTATGGAAGTGGGGTGGGGTTAACCTGAGCTGGGGTGGAGTTGGCTAAAATAGCATTAAGGGATTAGAGGAGTCTGTGACATTACTAGGAGGGGCTTGTGACATCACTGGTTAATTGGAGATAGCAAGTATCAGGTTACTCTTTTGGCAGGAGAAGAGGCATGATAGGAGGAAGAAAGCTGTCCCTTGGTAGAAGCCATATTTAACATGGAGGCTGCTATCCCTTGTGGCAGCCATTTTAAGGCACAGAGCATTACGGGAAGGAGGCTACTCTTTTATGTAGCAGCCATCTTGAGGCAAGGGAAATCTAACAGCAAGGAGTAAACAAATTGCACCTCCCAAAGTTCTAGATGCTAATGGAAGCCACTTGCTTGTCTAAATATCAAAAGCTTGTTCATTGAGCTTCTAAGGCAGGGGATCCAATTGGGTCTTGTTGCTTCCCTGTCATAGTGAGACCAAACCCTGATAATCCTCAGTAGATGATACATGAACATCAGGAAATTAATTAAGGAATTAAAACCGAATGTAATGAATAATGGAGCATAAGGACCTTTTACAATGGGGCTCTTGGGCTCTGTTTATGGCCCCACAGGACATTAAACCCCTTCCCCATTCCTGCTTATCGTGAAGCCAATACCTTCATTTTAATGTACAGTTACAAGAACTTGGAGCAGAACAGTCAGGCAGAAACATAACTAGAAGGCCAAGTATCAATAAGGATATGTTTTTGGGAACAAGACCTTACACAGATATTTCACAGCAAATGGCTTATCCTAATGAGGCATATGACCAGATAAATTTGTTAATGAAACAGGCATGGACCACTGTCCCCGAGGAGGATATTCCTCTTCAGTCCTTTCTACATATTTTACAGGGCTCCTGAGAGCTTTATACTCAGTTTCTTGCTAGATTACAGGAGGTGGTCCATAGATGAATTCCCTGTGCACAGGCAGCTGAGATAACAGTACTGCATTTGGCCTTTGAAAATGCAAATAAGCATTGTAAACAAGCCCTTTGGACCATTAGGGTTATAAAAGATCTTGGAAATTATATTAGAGCTTGTCAGGATATAGGAACAGAATCTTGTAAGAGCTCCATGCTGGATCAGGCCATGTTAAGTCTTACAAAAGGGACACACGCACATGCACACCCACACAAAATGTTTTAGTTGTGGAAAACAAAGCATGTTCATAAGCAACATAGCACTCCAGCTAAATCAAGAGCCACTGTTCCACCTCCTACAGAGGGAGATACCAGTCTCACCCCTGTCTTTGTCCTCAGTGTGAAAAGGGAAATTATTGGGTGAAGAATTGCCATTCTCAACATCGTAAGAACAGCATCCCCCTTGTGAAAAATGGGAATTTGGCCCTGTCCAGGGCCATTCAAACAGTAGGGACCTTTCCAGTACAGGCAGTGACCAGCAATCCATCCTGGGTTCTGGGCAAAACATTATTTCACTTACTTTCAGAACTCCAGGGAGTGCAGGATTAGATCTCTGTGTGGCCCAGAGAGTAACACTTATTGGGGGAAATAAGCCTGTAAAGATACCCACAGGAATCTGGGGATCACTCCCTGAGAGTGCTGTTGGATTAATTATGGGTAAAAGTCATCTCAATTTGCAAGGTACAGCTGTGATGCCTAGGGTATTTGATGCTGATTAACCCCCAGCCCTTCTGATTAAAAGGAGAAATCCAAGTTTTGGCTCATTCTCTGGAAATTTAGGGTTTTTTTTTGTTGTTGTTGTTTTTTGTTTTTGCCAGGTGATTGTGTTGCTCAATTGAGAGCCCCCCTCAATACAATATAGGAAGAGTAAAGAAAGGAAGGGGGCTTTAGTAGTACCCAAATACTAGGACCATTTGTACCTCACTAGTGGGGCTTGGTTTACCTCAAGTATTGCAAAGTGCAACTCCACTACCTTACTTAGGGCCAGAAAACCAAGCCAGGATCTTATGAATTTGTGGGGAAAAGATCTCTTAAAGAAATGGAGAATTATGCTGACTAATGAACCTATTAGTGTGGCAAAACAAATTACAAAAAAGAGATATCAATCAGGTTTTGGCTCTGGAAAAAAATTTACAAGGTAATCCTCAGCTGCTATCAGTTACTTGTAGATCAGACTGTGCAGACATAGGACATCAGTGCCCTTTCTGATAGGGATCACTGATGCTTCTCCCCCCAGAGCAGCTTTGCCATTTCAATGGAAAACAGATATCCCAGTCTGGGTGGATCAGTGGCCCCTAAATAAAGAGAAGCTAAAACACATTCTTTAGTGCAAGAACAAATCCAATTAGTGCTTAGAACTTTCTACCAGGTCCTGGAGCTCTCTTGTGTCCATGATTCCAAGGAAATCTCGAAAGCAGCGATTATTACAAGATGTAAGAATAGCAAATGCTTGTTTGCAGCCACTGGGAGCTTTACAGTGTAGGCTCCCATCTCTTGCAGCTGTTCCTCGAGAATGTCCATTGATTGTTATTGATCATAAAAATTTATGCTTTATACTTTCCTGATTGCCACTATTTTGCTTTCTCTGTACCCAGTATTAACTTTATTTTTATTTTTTATTTTATTTATTTATTTATCGCGGTGGGTGGGGTGTTGAGACAGGGTCTCACTATGTAGTTGAGACTGACCTGGAACTCGTTATGTAGCCCAGGCTGGTCTCCAACTCACAGTGATCCTCCACTCAGCCTCCTTTATTTATTTATCGCGGTGGGTGGGGTGTTGAGACAGGGTCTCACTATGTAGTTGAGACTGACCTGGAACTCGTTATGTAGCCCAGGCTGGTCTCCAACTCACAGTGATCCTCCAGCCTCAGCCTCCCGAGTGCTGGGATCACAGGTGTGCGTCACCACGCCCGGTCCCAGTATTAACTTTAAAGAACCTCTGAGCAGATATCACTAGACAGTTTTACCTCAGGGAATGGTAAACAGCCCAACCCTGTGTCAACATTTTGTAAATCAAGCCTTACAAACTACTTGAAAGAAATATCCTCAAGCTTATATTATTCATTATATGGATGACATTTTGCTGTCCATAGCAACAAAAACACAGCTACATGCTTTGTTTGCTACAGTAAAAAGGGGCAGACCTTAAAAGTCATGGTCTTTGCATTGCTCCTGACAAAGTACAGAGCTCTAGCCCTCATCTCTACTTAGGAACTTTGCTTACAGAATGAACAATGAGATATGAAAAAATAAAGACAGGATTGTTTATTGACTTTAAATGATTTCAAAGATTATCAGGAGATATTGATTGGATTTAGCCTAAATTAGGTATTGCAGCATATCAGTTAAATCATCTCTATAATGCTGCACAAGGTGGTCGTCAGATTAGTTCCCCTGGACAGTTAACTCCTGAAGAACCGGAAGAATTATAGTTGAATAGAAAGAATGTCACAGGAATGACAAGTAAGTAGGGTTAACTATCACCAGCCTCTTAATTCTCTCTGTTTTGGATGTTCCTTATTCTCCTACTGGGCTCTTAGGGCTCTCAGTTGTTCCTCATTGAATGGCTATACCTTCCTAATCAGATAGTAAAGACTTTATAGTTATATACTGAACAAATGGCTAGAGTAGTAATGGCTGGGAGAACTTGCTGTAATCAATTGGTTGGTGATAATACTTCTTGGATTGTATTACCCATATAACTATCTCAGTCTTCATTTTTATTACAATGAGTGCTTTTTTGGCAGGTTGCTTCCATTGACTTTATAGGGCAAATTGACAGTCATTTTCCTAGTGACCCTATCTTTCAACTTTTTCTAAAACACTCTTGTGTAATACCTCAGATTACACAACTAAACCCCATTTCTGATGCCTAGACTTATTCTACAGATGGTTCCGCAAGATGAAGGGCAGCTATCTGGAATAAGGATTTTCAACACATTATTTTAACCCCTGGACTCTTGGCCCAAATATCAGAAATAATTTCTATTCTATATATTATACAGTTTACTAAGCTGCCCTCTGTGAAATGGTTAGTGATTCAGCCTATGCAGTATTTGTTACCTACTGGTTAGAAAGTGCTACTTTGAGAGCTACTTTAGATGCTCCCTTGTCTAATCTGTTCCTTAGATTGCAGAGGGTGGTCCAAAGTCACTCTATTACCTTTATATCAGACATTAGATTCCCATTCTAATTTACCAGGACCTTTAGTCTATAGTAAACAACAGGCTGATTCTGTGTGGCTTATGTTACTTTCTTTGATTCCACAAGGTGTTCCCACTCATATCGCCATCAAAAGAGTAGAGCCTTAACAAAGGAATTGTAATTGTACTATTCACAAGCTAGGAAGATTGTCTTGTCCTGTCCTATTTGTCAGCACATCCTTCACCCTGTTCCTGCTGAGGGATGTATCCCTGAGGCCTTAAACAGAATGAAATTTGGCAAATGGATGTTATTCATATCTAGTCATATGGACAGTTAGGATATGTCCATGTACCTATAGATACTTAATCCCACACGAACCATGCTACCTGCCATAGTGGCAAGAAAGTAAGACATGTTCAACACATTGTTTGCCTGCTTTCACTGCTATGGCAGTCCCATATATAATTGAAACAGATAATGGCCCTTCATATGTTAGTAAAGCTTTATCCTCCTTTTTTAAGTTCTGGCTTAAAAAATACCTTACAAGCATCCTTGCAATCCTCAAGGCCAAGCAATAGTGCAGCATGCACATCTCTCCTTAAAAGCACATTACAAAAACAAAAAGGGAAGTATAGCTACCTCCACAAGTGCAATTAAATCTTGCCACCTTCACTTCAAATTTGTAAAATCTGCTTGCAGAAAGCAAAAGTACTCCATCAGAGCTCTATTGACACAAGGATGATGTTAAAGATAACCCCAAGGCACAAGTGGTATGGAAAGACGTCCAGACGGGAAAGTGAGATGGCCCAGCACAAATAATAACATGGGGACATGGGTATGTGTGTGTATTACCAGATAATGGGACACTATTATGGGTGCCATCCTGGATATGCAACCATGGAGAGAAGACAACTCCAAACCCATGGTGGAGCCAGCTGCCACCATACCATCAGTATGAGCCTTCTCTTCGGTAACTCTGGAAGAAACATCTTAGCCACTGAGAACCACACAAATGGTGAGACCCATGTTGTGGGGTGAAGTGAAGAGGATAACCCAGGAAGCTGAGAAGTTGTTGGCAAGCCAGGACCTCCCGTGTACCCCAGAAAATAGGTTTATTCCCACGACGGCCATCGCCGCTTCACTGTATGTATAAACCCTGTGTCTGGAAAGGAATACTGGGTGTATGTACCAAACCCTTCTTTCTTATGATCTCTTATATGGGCACATTTCCTCCAGAAATTTATCATGATCAATTAGATTGAGTGCCAGGGCCATATATGGCCCCAAAATTTATAGATACTAACATCATCACCTTATATCCACCCTTGTGTGATGAGCCCAAGTCCTTACAATCTAACTATGCCTGTCTGCTCAGGCACAAATCTGGGTGGCTCACCAGGAAAAACAATTCTAGGATTGGGAATGAGTTAACACCTCTGTACCCAATGTTCCCCTGTGTACACAACATACATCTTGTGGAGCTACCGATGAGCTTGTCCCCCAACCCCACCTTAGACCTCCTATAAAGGAGATGGGGGCAAAAAACACACCTAAATAAATTTGAATTTGTAGATTGGGGCCCCCAAGTAAAATTAGTAGGGAGAGACAATAATTGTTTAGTTTGGCATACAGTCAGATGGCATTGGTATATTGACTACTATGGAAAAAGTACCTGTGTATTATATTCTGATGCTGACGGACAAATTGAATGGCACAAGTCCAGTTTTAGTCCTCCATTACCACATGCCATTATCAATGGCAGACCTGGACCCCTCCAGGAAACATTTTAGAAACTGGCCCTTCCTTATTATAATGGTCAGCTGTGGAAAGGGCATATAGCAAATTTACTACAAATACTCCAAACATTCTAATTGGGACAAATAAGACCACACGATTTTCCATATGTACATACAACCCTTATGTCTTTATATATGGGACTACATAGGATCACACCTCATGCAGAGAGTCTCGTACATTGGGCCCTTGTGTATCAACTGGAGCCCTAGTTAATAAAACCCTGCTGGTCTTAAGGTGCATGTCAGGAGTCTGGGTGCCAGTAAATTTCACCGAGCCATGGGCCAGTACTCCAGCTATGTACTTATTGCAATCATTGACTGATGACCTTGTGCACTGAACAAAAAGGATGTTACTATTGGTTATTGCTGTGATTGTTACTTTGGTGTTATTAATTTCTGACATTGCTGTATCTTCTGTATCTCTTGCTCACTGTATACAGACTGCTTATTTTATAGATAATTGGACCAGAACTGTGGACATGGCTTAGAATATACAACATTCTATTGATGTAAAATTAGTCACAAATCAGCATTTTAGAGATCATTGTTATGTGGATGGGAGATCAAATAGAAAACCTACAATTACAACATGGTCTTCGGTATTATTTTAATACTACTTGGTATTATAATACTCCTCTGATGTATAACCTGTCTGTCCATCCTTGGGAGCATATAAAAAAAGCACATACAGGTGCTATGCATAGTTATATAACCATTTGAAGGCTTTGCAAAAGGAAATGTTATCTATGTTTCAGCAGACTCAAAATTTTGATAAACAATTTCAGGATTAGGATAAAAATGCTGATGCTCTTGATCAGCTTAAACCACAAAACTATCTTAAAGGCCATTTTGGATTTTATACTGGCTTAACTATATTAATGTGTTTCTGTCTTATATTTTTACTTACAGTCTGCTGCAGGGGAAGCCAAACCAGACAATGCCTAGATGCTGTTCAGCCACAAGTCACTGTGTTTCAACTGCTGCAATTTCAAAAACAAAACAAAAAAAAGGATGAACTGTTGGGCTACTAACTCAGATCTCACAGTCTCAAGGTTGGTGTTATCTTGACTCAGGACAGGGAACAAATCTGTTTCCCTGGGCTATGGGCAGAATGCTGAGGCAAAATAGCATCTGCTGAGGACAGTTGTCAGTATACAGGCATTTGAGTATAGAGAAAATCTGGTTCCTCATTAACTTATTCCTTGCCCATCCATTCTCTATAGTTGCCATTCCATGAAATGCAACTTCTCCCTCCCTTGCACTTCTCACTGGCTAATAAAAGCGGACCAACCATAGAGTTCTGTTCAAGTCTATCCACTAGAGGCCGATCTCCCTGTCTCCCACCCTTTATACCTTGAAAACTGTCTCTTTTTATTCCTCGCCATTCCCCCCAAAAAGATAGCTGAGGGTCTGATCAGCCCTCAGTGAAGACCTGTGTTCTCTCTAGGATTTAAACAAAATACAGTTGTATGCAAATTACTTGATGTGACAGTTAATCTTGATTGTCAACTTGATTGGTTTAAGAGGCACCTAAAAAACTGGTAGAGTACACTTCTGGGTGTGTCTGGATAGGTAATGTAGCCATGACCTTGGGAACTATTTCTGGTCCCTGGCCCCCTCCCCTATACTGCTGTCCTATGCTCTACTTCCTGGACACCATGAAGTGGGCAGCTGTACTGTACCATCTCTTCTTCTAAGTGTTCCTGTTCTGGAGCCAGGTGACAGTGCCCTAATGCCCCTGAAACCATAAGCCAAAATAAACCTCTCCTGCTTTATTAGGGGTATCACATATTTTGCCTCACCAACTGGGAAGCTAATTAATACACTTAGGGTAGAAAGTACCAGGAAAATATTAACTTGCATGGTAAAAGACAATCAATAGACACTAACCCAAACATGAGGCTGATGTTGAAATTATTTGACAAGGACTTTAAAACAGCTATTCTACTAATGCATCAACCAAAAATTGTAAACTGTCTTAAAACAAATGGAAAAATAGAAAGTTTCAGCAAGGAAATAGAGGACCACAACAAAAATATCAATAATTTAGAATTGAAAAATACTATAACCAGAATGAACTTTGCCGAAACTTTGATACATCTAAAAGAAGGACAGAGGCCTGGGAATGTAAGTTAAAGAGAGAATGGAGATGACAAAAAAAGAGTCAGTGATCGATGGGGTATGGGAGGGGGTGTAAAAAAAATGAACAAAGACCAAGCATGGTGGCACACACCTGAAATTCCTCCCAGCTGCTAGGGAAGGTAAGGCAGGAAGATTGCCAGCCTGGGGAACTTAAAACCCTGTATCAAAATAGAAAAATTAAAAAGGTTAGAGATGTAGCTCAATAGTGGAGTACTTCTGTACTCAATCCCCAATACTGTAAAATAATAATGTAATAATAAAACCTCAGGGATTTGTGATTTAATAGCCAAAGGTTTTTGTGTTTTGTGTTTGTTTTGAGGCAAAGTCTTACTCTGTTTCTCAGGCTGGCCTTCATATCACTATGGATCCCAGGCTGGCCTTGAACTCACAGCAGACCTCCTGCCTACTGAGATCACAGGTATACCACACCTGGCAATGGCAAGAGACTTAACGTTCATGTCATCAGTGTCCCAGAAGGAGATACAGTATGATGAAAAAATATTTGAAGACATAATGAGTTCAAACTTCCCAATTTTTGCAAAAAACCCCCGACCAAACAAAAAACACACTGTAAACATAGAGAATTAAGAAATTCAGTGAACTCCAAGTTGGATAAAGCTAAAGAAACCCATACCCAGAAATCACAACAACCAATTGAAAACTAAGGACAACAATAACAAAATCTTAAAAGGATCCAAAGAAGATTCAAGAGCTGTCATGTAAAGGTACAAGAGCATCCCAATGATAAATGTTAAAAAGTACCAATAAACTCAATGAAAAAAAAAAGCATCCAGAGAAAAGTAATGTACTACCTATAGTAAGAGGCCAATGACTCAGTGCAGATTTCTATCAGAGTTGAAGAGATCAGAGTTAAAGAATGTAACATTTTGGAGGAGGGGGTGAAGGGAGGGCAGGGGTAAGGGGAAAAAATGAGAATCAAGACTTGTCATGTAGAGGCACACAAGATCCCAACAATGAATGTAACTGTACTGTATCCCTAAAATGTACCAATAAACTCAGTTAAAGCTGAAAGAAAAAAAAGAATGTAACATTTTTCAAGCATGAAAAGAAAAGAACTGTCAACTCAGAACTATATAGCCAACTAGCTATCCTTCAGGAATAAAAATATTCTCAGATGAAGGAAAACATTAAGACAATTCCTTCAGTAGATCTGTTCTAAAGAATTACTAAATATAAGGTCTGGGGATTTAGCTCAGTGGTTGTACCGCCTGCCTTATAAGTACAAGGACCCAAGTTTGATCCCCAGTACCAAAAACAAAACAAAAAAAAGAATTACTAAATATAGTTCTTCAGAGAGAAATGGTACTAGAGAGAGAAATTTTATTGAAGTGTTCAATCCACTTGCATTTAAGGAAATTATTGTTATATTTGGATTTTACCCTATCATTTTATTCCTTGTTTTCTACATGTTCCCTCTGTAATTATTTCCTATTTTCTCTTTTTGGGGGGAGTTTTAAACATTTTTTTCATGTTACATCTTAATTCACAGTGATCTCAACTCTATCAAACATTTGTTTGTTTGTTTGTTTGTTTTTCCAATTGATTGTTCTATGGCAAACATGTCCAACTTGTGGTTCACAGGCCACGTGCAGCCCTGGACAGCTAGTAATACATTCCCATGTGCTGGTAAACTTAAATGTTATTCTGTGATTTTTAGCAATATTTTTAATGATTTGATTGCTAATTGGCAGTAGCAGAACCCTGTGTTCAGGAGGGAGTGGTGCGGTGCTAACTCCACCTACCAATATCAAAGGTTCCATGAGCTGTGTGACTTGGTAAGTAAAGGTGATTGATTACCAATAACAGTTATTTTCACCTACCTACACGTGTGTGCCTGTGAAGACAGGTGTTTACTGTCATTAAGCAGACATGGAAGGTGTTTTATTTCATTATTAAATGTGGGCTTGTATTATTTTTTAATGAGTTAAACATTAAAAAGAATTTTGTTATCTATATATTTTAACTACAGTATTCATTTAATATATGACCCAAGACATTTTTTCTTCACTCAGTGCAGTCCAGAGAGGTAAAAAGATTTTTAGCTATGCTGTACGTAGGGGAATGATACACATACGTAACTTTTCACAGTCCATGTAAAATCAATATTTTACCACTTCAAGTAGGATGAAGAAACCTACCAACATATGGTTCCTCATATCCTTCCTCTTCATATTGTCTTATCTCTCACATGTACATACACTGAAACCCTTTAAGGCAATTTTGTAATTTTCGCTTTAAACTCTCAGATATTATTTGATTGTATGAGGAAAAAGTGTTATATTTAACTGTATTTTACCATTTCTATCGTTTCTTTTTCATTTATTCAGTGAAATTATTTATTTTGGTTTTTGAGACAGGGTCTCACTATGTAGGTCAAGCTGGCCTTGAACTCACTGTGGAGCCCAGGTTAGCCTTGAACTCACAGACTTTACTGCCTCAGCCTCCTGAGGGCTGGGATTAAAGTGTGCACCACCATATCTGGCTCAATGAAATTATTTGGTAAAATGAAGTGAATAGTTTTCCTCTCCATCTGGTGTCTTAGTTTTTCATTACTAGGACAAAATCCACCTACACAACTTAAAGAAGAAAAGGTTTATTTTGGTTCACAGTTTCAGAGATTTCACTCCATAGTCAGAGGAAAGCTGTTCACCTCATGGCAACCAGGAAGCAAAATAAAAGCAAAGAACAAGACAGAGAGGGAGGGAGGGAGAGAGAGAGATCCTTCAAAGTCACACCTCCAATAACTCACTTCCTCCTAGTAGGCTCCACCTCCGAACAACTCATTCAGCTACCAAACTCCTCAGTGCATTAATCTGTTGCAGAAGTTAGTGCCCTAATGGTCCAACCAGCTCAGTAGACCTTTCCTCTGAACATTACTGTGTCAGAAATTGAGCTGTCACAATACATGAGTCTTTAGGAGTCAATCCATATTTAAACCATGACATCTGGTACTACCTACTGGGAGTCTAATCTGACATCAAACTAGCCCACACTCATTATGCAGCATAGCAACATTCCTATACAGGAATTACCCAGCACCTTGGTGATTGTGTTGACCCATCTATAATGGAGGAATTTTATCCTCCCTGGTGTAGAAACATTTTTCTGTCTTAGTTCATTTTCTCTTGCTAAAACATAATACCTGAGTCTAGGTAATTTATTTGAAAGGGAGGTTTATTTTGACTAATACTGAAAGTCCAACAGCATGACACTGGCATCTTCTTAGCTTCTGGTGATAACCTCAAGGTAAAAAGTAGAATAGCAAAGTGAAGAGAAGCAACAGGAAGCCAAGGAAGCTGAATATTGCTTTATAACAACCCACTTTTGTGGTAGCTAATTCAGTCCTATGAGGGTGAAAATTCATTCATTCCTCCAAGATGACATGAATCTGTTCAAGAGGGCTCTAGCCCAAAACTCAAACTCCTCTCACTATGACCCACCTCGCAACACTGCTGCATTGAAGAATTAGACCTCAACATGAGTTTTGGTGGAGTCAAACCATATTCAACCTACTGTATTACAATATTCTTCATATGATTTTGCCTTACCTATCTACAACACTTCTGCCACTATCATTATCCATGGACTTACAGAATGCCTGACTTATAGAATGTATCATCCATGAACTTACAGAATGACAACAAAGAAAAAAAAATTTGTTTTTTGAAGAAAAGACAGTTCAAATTTCATGGTCGCCACAGTTTTTTGTTTTGTTTTGTTTTTTTGGTACCGGGTATCGAACTGGGGTCCTTGTGCTTGCAAGGCAGGCAGCAGAACGACTGAACTAAATCCCCAGCCCATTTTTTGTATTGTTTTGTTTGTTTGTTTTGGTTTTTTGAGACAGGGTCTCACTATGCAATTGAGACTGACCTGGAAATCGCTATGTAGCCCAGGCTGGTCTCGAATTCACAACAATCCTCCTGCCTTAGACTCCAAGTGCTGGGATTACAGGCGTGTGCCACAATGCCTGGCTGTGATGGTCTCCTCATTTAATCCATCATGCAGAAGCAGTTAACTAGCCAGAATAGTGGAGCAATCTACTAAAGGCTTTATATCAGCAACCAATATTATATTATTTATACAATGGCAAGATACAGAAATCCCAGAATAAAAGGGTAGAATTATGGGGAAGGGTTTTCCTCTCACTGTTCTGTTCGATAATCCTTTCAGAATTCGAAATATTAATCTTGATTGACTTAGAGACCTTAGTTCAAGTGAGAAGAATACATCCATCAACACAGAAGTGCCTCCAGTGAATTTTAATTTGAAACTAACGTCTGGAAATTTTGGGCTCGTTATACCACAGAGCTAACAGATTAGAAGGGACATGTATCTATCAACTGTTGCTGCAATAATACTCCATAACAAACAATCACAAAAATGAATGCTTTTTGCTCATGAATCTGCATATCAGTTGGGGTGACCCTGTTATTAGGACAGCTTTGCTATAGATGTCTCATTCTGCTGCCCAAAAGAAGGAGCAGTGGCTACCTACAGCATCTGTCTAAAGGCTGGCATGTTATTTCTGTCTACATTCCACTGGCCAAAGAGAACCACAAGACTAAGGCCAAGGCCAAGAATACATATTCAATTTTCTGATCCCAGTGCCTTGAATTTCCAACTAGCTTCTATGGGCTGTTTTTCCTCAAATGGTGGTACTCATATTTGATACTACCCTGTACTCCATTCCCTTGGACAGCTGCTGATCCATTTCCCTTCCTGATCTGCAACTTGCAGATATCTCACCCTCCTATCTGCTGATCTTTTTTTTTTTTTTTTTTTTTTTTTTTTGGGGTTTTTTACTGATTTTTTTTTTTTTTTTTTTTTTTTTTTTTTTTTTTTTTTTTTTTTGTACGGGGGATTGAACTCAGGATCTTGCATTTGTGAGGCAGGCAGTGGTGCCACTGAGCTAAATCCCTGGCCTCTGCTGATCTATTTTGTTCCCAATCTTATACACACCAGAAATTCATCTTAGTTACTATGTAGTAGCAGGAAATCTAGACCAACCCCCTGCATCTCTTTTTAATACAAAACAATGAAACAGAATTAATATTTTTGAAGATCATGCTCTGTCCCAAATACTAAATCATAGTCATCTCATTTATCCTTTTAACTCTGAGAAATAAGACTTGTTATTCTCAATTCACAGATAAGAAAGTTCAGGCTCAGGAAGCAAAATTACTCATCCAGGATCACAGAACTCTTAAAAGGCTTTTAGAATTCACACTAAAAAACATAACTGATTTCAAATATAGGCTTTCTCCCTATAACTTTTTTCCTCCTAAATACCTAAGATTTTCTTCCTACTCCAACCACAGATTTAACCTTTTTACCAAACCTTGGAATCTAGCTGTTTTCATGGGGAAATCTAAACAGGTCATTTTCTGGAAGATGCCCAGTGAGAAGTTAAATAAAGCCTTTTGACTAAGGGGTTCGGGAAAGTCTGGGTTAAAAATGTAGGAATACAATGATGACTGGGAAGAGCACCCACGCTACTGGTACAGTGTTGATAAAGGTGTAGGGGTGGGTGTCTACAAAATGTGCCTGGGACTAGCAAGGGGTCTGCTGTAACAAGGAAACAGGGTCAACTGCTGGGTGAATGGAAGAGACAAGAGGTTTTATATTCAGTTGGGAAGAATTTCTGAGGCAAAGCTGTATCTGAAAAGAGGAGTGAGTGCCTTTTCACCTAATG